ATTTGACCAGAAATTGGTCATAAGCATCGATGGACGACAAATCACCCTTTTCAACCCCGACAAAAGGTGGACCAAACCAAACTTCTGGTCAGAATCACCAACTACCTGGACAAATATTCACTTCGGCGATATCCACAATGACTTGGTGGAAACTCCTGGGCCATTCACAGCAGAAAAGATGAAAACCTCCAAGAGTCTCGATGTGTTGTTGAACTTGTTGGAGTCCACGGTTTGCTCGCTTCTACGTTTGCTCTGCGGATGTTTGAAAGCCGTTTAATTCACTGTTAGTGGTTCTTTTCACTCAGAATACGAAAAAGACATTTTCCTTCTTCCGTGCTTCTATTTGTGCATCCGATAATGCAGCAGGAATTTACCATTATCGGGGATAAATACGCGAGGTTACGCACTGTGTTTGACCGCTATCCTGTTTCTTGCCTCCAACCAAAAAATTTCCCAGCATGCAACGTGGGTTTTTAATAACAATGACATCAGCTGAAACTCTCCTGTACCGGAATAGACAACATAACAATAATATTCATGATTAAAGGTTCATGTTTCTGGGTTCTGGGTCCCAAACTAAAGGTAAATACACTTCTCCTGCTTTAAAACTCCAGCCTCATGCCTCTTCTTTCAACTCTCTGGCTATTTTTAATTTTAATTTATTCTACAAACCTATAATTGTTCATTCAGTCATTGGCCGTGTGCAAACTCAACAGAGAAAGACCCGAACCCTCTTGCTGTGAGAGAGTCCAGCCATTCACTCACCGCTGCCCAAATGTAATTCATAAAATCTTTTCTACATTTTATTAATTTGCATAAATTGTCATCATTTTTTTTTCCAATTAGGTTCAAATGTCTCCCAGTTTCAACATCTAATATTTGAGCACACAATGAATTGAATATATTACAAAGAAATTGAACCAAAATTCTGGGCAAACTTTTGAACGTTTTTCAAAATTCAGCCCTCCTGTGATCAGCTTTTGAGCACTGACCCTCTGACAGTTTCAAATGAATAAAAATTTAATCCATCAATGTGTTTGGAAAAGCTTAGAAAATCACATATCTGGGCTTATGTTTCTGCTCTAAATTTAAATGTATTCTGAATGGCCTGCAGCAGTGGCAAAGGAGTCCGGTAATGAGTCGCCCACCGCACTCCACAAACACTAAAAATCTGTTTACACTGCAAAATAGATAGAAGACGAGTTACAATTGAATTCAAAATAGGAATCTCAATAGTAGTTTCTTCAAAATTTGATCTCTTTTCTTCAACGTATAGAATATCAGAATAGTTTCAACACATTGGGCCTTATTTTCAAGTGTATTTGTCAATGAAAAAAACATATTCTGCGACTTCAGTCTTAAACCATTCTCAGATTTTCTTTTCAATCAAACAAACACAAGCGTCATACAGTTTTTTTCTATGTACATTTTGTCTTCTCACAACAAAGATGGTGGATATTGTCAGTAACGTTTTCTTTCTGACATTGAATCTACATCTCTCAATTATAATCAGTGTTGGGGAGTAACAGATTACATGTACCAGAGTTACGTAATCAGAGTACAAATTATGTGTACTACTACTGTATTCAGTTACAGTTACTGTTTCAGTGAGTGGTAATTGGATTACAGTTACTTTGTTGAAATAAATGAATTATTAATGGAGGTATTTTCCTGTTTTCACTAGGTCTAAACCAGGCCTAAACCAGGAAACCAGGATTAAACCAGGACTAAAACCAGGTCTAAACCAGGTCCACAACCAGGTCTAAAACCAGGTCTAAACCAGGTCTAAACTAGGACTAAACCGGGCCTAAACCAGGATTAAACCAGGACTAAAACCAGGTCTAAACCAGGACTAAAACCAGGTCTAAACCAGGTCTAAACCAGGTCTAAAACCAGGTCTAAACCAAGTCTAAACCAGGCCTAAACTAGGTCTAAAACCAGGTCTAAACTAGGAATAAACCAGGCCTAAACCAGGTCTAAACCAGGTCTAAAACCAGGTCTAAACTAGGACTAAACCAGGTCTAAACCAGGTAAACAAACTAGGTCTAAACTAGGACTAAACCAGGCCTAAACCAGGCCTAAACCAGGACTAAACCAGGTCTAAAACCAGGTCTAAACTAGGACTAAACCAGGCCTAAACCAGGATTAAACCAGGACTAAAACCAGGTCTAAACCAGGCCTAAACCAGGTCTAAACCAGGTCCAAACCAGGACTAAAACAGGTCTAAACCAGGTCTAAACTATGTCTCAAACAGGATTTAACAGCAAACCAAGTAATCCAAAGTATTCAGATTACGTTACTCACTTGAAGTAATTTAATAGATTACGTTACAAACTACATTTTGGGGTATGTAATCTGTAATCTGTAGGGGAATACATTTTAAAAGTAACCTTCCCAACACTGATTATAAACAGTTACCCAAATGAAATCAAGATTATCCTGAATTTACTCTATATTAAGCAGCACTAATTTTTAGGTGGAGGGTCCAAAAATCTTATGTTCATGTTGCTTTAGAATTAAATGTTCCAAAATGTTTCATACAATTTAAAATTCTCCATGGAGACAAGAGCATGACCCAAAAAACCAAGTGTTTTTGGCAACAGAAACATCCGTATGGCAACCAGTTTATATTAAACTACACCTTACTTAGACTTAATTATTATAACAAATAGATTATTAAGAATGATTCAGGATGAGTAAATACTTTAAGTGATTTCATGTAACTTTCATGCTTCCATAAAATCATAGTCAACAGAACTGAAACTGGGATCAAACCAGGACAAGTGTGAATCCAGCCTTCAAAATAATAACCTAATAGCCTAATAATAAGTATTCATGGATTTCAGTTTCCTGTTTATCCATGGGTTTCAAATGCTGAGAAATTAGGACCATTGCTACATCAATAAACAATTTAAAGTGGAACTAAACACAAAAAATCCACTTTTGCTGTTGGTGTTTTAATAATAATAATATCATTATCTACTGTTCCAGCGCACACGTCAGGACGTGGAAATGGTTTACTGAATGCCGCTTCACCCTTCACCCCTATTTCATGCAACTAACCAAACTGTGGATTGAAAGCGGACTGAGCTGGGAAATATAAAGAAGTGATGTTGCCCAAACCAGCTCCAGTCAAATGAAGCTCACAGTTACAGCGGTGAATTGGGGGCAGAGTTCCATAATAGGAATGGGAATTGATTTACAGAGAAAATAGGCGAAATAAAAACACCAGGATCATGTAGAGTGGGTTAATATGAATATTTTTTCCAATACAAAGTGAATTTGAGCCAGAGTCAGTGGAGCTGGAAGCACGCCCATGCTCACTTCCTGTTTGGAACGCAGCAACTGGTACTTAAGCTATGTCCATTTACTGTAAGTACACCGACTATTGGAAATAAAAACACCTGTACGGCAACCACTTTATATGAACTACAGCTTAGTTAGCCTGCATAAACATGAACAAATACTTAATTCACCATGAACAAATAGTTAATTAAGAATGATTAGTAACTACTTAAAGTGATGCCATGCAACTTTCAGCAGCAAAGTCAACTGCATACTTCTACAGAAACAGGTAACACTTTATAATAACTACGCCTTATTTAGCCTCAATAAAGCATGAACAAAGACTTAATTAATAATGAACAAATACTTAATTAAAGCATAATTAGTCTTCACTTTACAAAAGCTCTTGAAAAGACTTAACTAACAGGTAATAGCTGCTTGAATGAGCATTGCATTGCAGTATGAGTAAATCATTCTCTCATGGCTTAATAATCATTAATAAATGTTCAAATCTGTACACAAATATGCATTTACAAATACACACACAAATGGTTAGTTTATGGGTAAGTAAGTATAAAATAATTATGAGTAACTATTCACAGCACAGGCTAATTAAGTTCAAGTTATGTGCTAATTAAGGTAGTAGTTAAGTAGTGATTAAGCCTGAATGACTCTTAGTTAAGTATTTGTTCATTATTAATTAAGTTTTAGTTTGTTCATGCTTTATTAAGGCTAAATAAGGTGTAGTTTTTATAAAGTGTTACCAAAATAGAAAATTAAAACAATGCTTCGGAACATTCTCCATAGAGATACGTTTTTTGAGATACTGTGGAAGATCATTAGCCACGTTGGCGCCACCTAGTGCCTCCACTCAATTTAATTTCTCTCCAACGGCTTGGTCAGGAATCGGAATACACTAGACGGTTTGCAAGAACCCCGGGAAATTGTAGACCGCGCACCGGCCAATCAATGAAGCCATAATATCAAACTCAAGCTCCTGTCTGGGTCCCTTTTGTGGAACAACACAACAGTAAACAAAGCGGTCGAGATGGATGTAAACAAAGGCAGACATTCTGCATTGGCAACGATTCCCGTGATCGAGGATTAAAAGCCGGAACAAAGAGAATGTCTGGTGAATTTTATCAAGGGGAAAGACGCTATTGCCCTTCTTCCTACGGGATTTGGCACATTACATACGTCACAACCAAATAGCAGCAATTCGTTAAATAAAAAAAAGTACCCGCCTACCATCGAGCGAACGAATCCTAATGCTGCGAAGTGAAACCGGCTGATGAATCTGGCTAGAAGATCACAACCAAAGGAACAACATTTCCATGAAAACAAGCAGGAGGTGAAATAAGAGCCAGGTTTGTGGAGATGCAAGCCTACTCAGAGTGATCCATGTTTTTCTGTGTTTTTAGTGCAATAAAAACATCTATTATAATCTATTCTTTGGCAAAAAAGTTACATAGTATAGCTTTAATTAAGGGATGTGGGGTTATGAATTAAGATTATGGTGTGAATGAAGTCTTTGTTTATGCTCTATCAATGGTAATTAAAGTGTAGTCATTACAAAGTGTTACCAAGCGATAAATGAGTTTACACTGTGGAACTTTCCGGGCAAAGCTATAACACACTGACGAGACAGGCACCATTCATCCTTGTGTAGATCGTTTGGTTTTGCAGTGTAGCGACGACAGATATCTTGTACATACCATAGTTTCGCTGTTATGACGACCGCTGTCAGGATGAGCAGTGAGGAGATCGTCACAGTAACGTAGAACTGGGGGTCCACTGCAACAGACACACAAACACAGCGTGACGATGTGTAATGGCGTCCACAACAAACAGGAAAATCAATGCAGGCAGCAGAACATTAAATTGGATGCACAACGCTCTGGCCTCAGACTACACCAGTGACGTCGTCTCTGTAGCTCAAGGTTTGACAGACAGCCCATTTCTCCCTCTGAATGATGAGCACTTTATTAGGCTTTCCTAGAGACAAGCACTGCAAAAAATGAAACTTAAGATGGCCAGAGTGTGGACTTTTATCTTGATTTGAGAAGATTTTGACAGGTCATGTGCCGAACGGTTGGAATAAGTGCTTTCAGTTTTCAATTTGACTTCGATTGGCAAACATATTTCAAAATTTGTCAAAATGCACTCAAAACAAGATGAATATTACTGAAATCAAGCAATTACAACTCACTTAAGATTGATTTTTGCACAAGGACTTCAATTCATAATGTTAATTGAATAGTTTAGTCTAATAAAATAGCACACTGGATTTATATAAGAAGCAATGCCAAGTTACAGGTCAGATCTGCGAGTCTCAGGCAACGGTTTTACGATATTCATTACAGCAACTGAAAGCATTTTTTTTGCACTACGTAGACACTTTCTCCAGCTCCTTTAGTGGGACCACAAGATGATCCCAGGCCGGCAGAGAGACACAGTCCCTCCAGTGTGTCCTGGGTCTCCCCCCGGGGCCTGCTCCTGGTGGGACATGCCTGAAACACCTCCCCAGGGAGACGTCCAGGAGGCATTTGGAACAGATGTCCAAGCCATCTCAGCTGCTCCTCTCTGTGGGGAGGAGCAGCGGCTCTACTCCAAGCTCCTCCATGTGACTGAGCGCCTCACCCTATCTCTAAAGGGTGAAGTATAGTTCTGCGTCGACTCAACGCGCACTGCCGCTGTCGCCTTGTCGCCGTTGTTTTTGATTTATGGATCTGCGTCGAGGTCTGTGCACCGCGAAGTAATTCACCGCCAAAACGCCAGGGGGCTAGGATATATGTTCATTCATATATACGGTCTATGCGTATGACCTGCAGATGTATAATCTCTGAAAGGTTCCATCTCTGACAGGATAAAAGCACAGAACAGACTCATCAGAACAATATCCCTCTGTCACAGAAAGAACACATATATTCCTCGGAGTCGTGTTCTTTTTAAGTCTGACAGAAGCTGAACCGCATCAGCGCACAAGAGCGATCTGTTTTTTGAGCGCTTAGTTTATGCAAGTTAGCCATGCGGTTTTAAGTTTTGTTTCTGTAAAACGTAAACACATATGCGCAAAGCTGCATTAAACACATTATTTCTCAATGTATATTGAAAGAAAGGAAAGCCGAGTACAGGAAATGTCTGTAGTGCGGCGGTATGGAGGACCAATCACAGCCCTTATCGTCTGAGTCGCTTCCCCTGCTGTCTGTGTCGTTTCGATGCACGTCGGTCGACGCAGAGGCTCTGCATAGGGGGTACGCGTCAATGCAGAATCTCTGTGTCGTGACGCAAACGATTTGACGCTGGACCGTAAATTGGCCTTAAGGGAGCGCCCAGCCACCCTGCAGAGGAAACACATTTCGACTGCTTGTATCTGTAATCTTTCCTCCTTTCGGTCATTACCCAAAGCTCATAGGTGAAGAACATAGACTACGTTCAGACTGCAGCCTGAAGTGACCCAAATCAGATTTTTTTGCCCCTATGCGACCTGTATCTGATCTTTTAATGACAGTTTGAAAGACACAAATCCAATTTTTTCAAATGTGACCCAGGCCCTTGGATATGTGCTCCTAAAACTGATACATCCGATCTTTTGACATGTGACTTCAGTCTGAATGGCCAAGTCACATTCATCACACCTACACGTCAGACTCAGAGACTAGTCAATGGAGAGTTTATTAAGATTTGGGGGTATCGCTGTATTCAGGACAAATTGGAGGGGTCTGGGTGTTTTTTTAAATGATTGCCAAAGAAATGTCAGAGCGCAACTTCAGGCGATCCTGACTCTAATGTCAACACAAAATAAAAAGCCTGCGAGCCGAATAAAAGGAGGCTAAAGACTCAAACAAACAAAGCAACCGTGGATGTGTAACCTGTCCATTTTACGAAGAACTGGACCGTATTTTGGGAGACAAGCCCAATGTTTAGGCGACTTCCGTAAACACTGAGTACGCTCGCTGCGAGTTACATCGTTGTGTCCTCCAATGCACATGCGGGACACTTTTGGGCCGTTTAAAGTTCACACTGGAGATCACATACAAGTAGTTTTTAATTGGAAATGTGAACGAGCTCGCAAAAAAATCAGATTTCACAAAAAAATCAAAATTGAGCATTAAGCCCTGACCAGTAGATTGAGAGCTTTGCCTTTAGACTGAGTTTCTTTCCACTTGGATTGAATGCAACATAAGTTTAAAGCCATACTGTGTGTAAAATTTCAGACTAAATAACATTATATGCATGGAGACAGACAAACAGAAGGCCTTCCAGGAAAGTTATAATACATCTTTAACGTGTTTAGGATATTGTAGAAAAGAATATTTAGGATATTTTCTTTGCCAAAGGGAATCACGCCGTGTTATTACCCTTTGGCAATTAGGTAAGCTCGACATCAGAAGCAATGTGTTGAAACAAGCCGTATAATAGTCAGAACCACTCAAAATGAATGCCGATAATTTGAATAGAAGTGATTTAAATGAATTTAGTTAGGAGTCGAGACGCCCTCTTTTTGCAGTGTAGACACAGGCGGCTGCACACAGACAGTGGGGAGTCGGAGCTGACAGTTAATTCCCCTGAGGTCTGCTGCCATGTGCCTGTGTTCTCATGGACTCTGCTCTCGGCACATTTATTTAGAAATCTGTCATACGGGCTGCAGTAGAACGAGAGCGAAGGGGACTGTTCACAGCTCACATGCAAAAGCACCTGCGCCAGCTCACACGTCATGACATGGGAATGGTTTTACCGAATGTCGCTCCTCAACCTTCACCCCTATTTCGTGCAACTAACAAAACTGTCGACTGAAAGCGGACTGAGCTGGGAAATATAAAGAAGTGACGTCGCCCAAAGCTTCCAGCTCCAGTCAAATGAAGCTCAATGAGGCTGAAATTTGGACCAGAGTCTCACATTAGGAAAAGGAACTGATTTACAGACAAAATAGCGAAATAAAAACACCAGGATCATGTAGAGTGGGTTAATACAAAAATGTTTAGACCAAAATGAGGAGTCTGACATTAGCGCTTACAGAGAATGGGGGCGATTGTTTTTTCTAATGTTGTAATCAAGAGCGCACTAATCGAGACCAAGACCTGTCCAAAACCACAGGGTCCCTAAACCAGGACAAGACCAAGACCTCTGAGAGTTGAGACTGAGACAAGACCAAGACTTTTAAAGGCCAAGACCGAGACAAGACCGATACCACGGAGACCAAATCGAGACTATCTTTGTCATTTTCTACATTTATTTGTATTTAACAGTTCTTTTGGCACATATATATCAACGCTTTTGTATCTCCATTATATCTGATAAGTGTTAATTTAAGCTTAAAATAAGCCAAGCAAACTGTACGGCACTGAAACACTCTTATTGAAACACCCACAGATGAAAACCTCTTCTTTAATTAAGATAACTTCCACTGGCACTTTACAGAAAACTGTGAAGAAAATGAAGAAAGTGGGTAGGATTTTTAAGCCTGTTTTCAAGTTTCTAAGGCTTTCGTTCAGACTGCAGGGCTTAATGCTCAATTCCGATTTTTTTGTGAAATCCGATGTTTTTTGCGAGGTCGTTCACATTTCCAATTAAATGCGACTTGTATGTGACTCCAGTGTGAATATTAAATGGCCCAAAAGTGTCCCGCATGTGACACTGGAGAACACGATGACGTCAACCACAGCGAGCGTGCTCTGTGTTTTATAGAAGTTGTCCAAACATGGACGCGAGCATTGAGCACCTGGAGATTTTTAAAGTTCCTCTCGTACCAGGAGCCAGAACATGAACAACTTACTTGTTTTAAGGAGGAGATTGAGAAGGAGAAGGACGAGGTTTTTGGCCGTGGTGTTTTGTGGGACAGCGGCAGCGACGTCCGTTGAAAGGAACGTGTGGATGTGGAAACGTAGACAACAGTGGTGAGTGGTGATGTGCTTTGCTTCAGTGACACGGAGTTCATTAACAATTTTCGCCTATTTCAGCGCAGAATAGTGACATTTGTGGCTTGTTGATGACATGTAGGTCAGATGAATGCACTTTGACCCTTCAGACTGAAGTTGCATGTCAAAAGATCAGATATGTATCGGTTTCAGGAGCACATATCCAAGTGTCCTGGGTCACATTTGAAAAAATCAGATCTGTGTCATTCAGACTGTCATTAAAAGATCAGATACAGGTCACGTAGGGGCCAAAAAAATCGGGTTTGGGTCACTTCAGGCTGCAGTCTGAACGCAGCCTAAGTGGAGTTAGACCTCAAGTCCGTGACAGCACCGAGTCCGAGCACCTTCAAGACCGAGATAACACTGAGTCCAAACACGTTCTAATCCAAAACGAAACCAAACCGGTAAAAAACTGTCTCAAGACCAACGCCGGTCTCAAAACCAAAACCGTTCTCAAGTACTACAACACTAGCTTTTTCAATACAAAGTGAACTGGAGCTAGAGTCAATGGAGCTGGAAGTACGCCCATGCTCACTTCCTGTTTGAAATGCAGCGTCTAATAAGTAAACTATGGCCATTTATTTTTACAGACTATGGGAAATATACATTGTTTTCTTTACGATTGCATTCACACATCACACAAACCCAAAAGGGAAAAAAATGGGGTTGGACCAGAAATAAACCTGGACTTGACCATGACTAAACCAGGACTAGAACAGAACCAAACTAAGCCTACATCAGGATTAAACTGGAGTCAAACCAGGACTTGATATCTGCTGTTTTTATTGTACTCACAGATTTCAGTTTCCTTTTTATCCGTGGGTATCAGCGCGATGAGAATTTAGGACCGTTGTTATCGCAATTAACAATTTAAAGTGGAACTAAAGTGTTTATATGGTGTTTTAATATCATTATTTACTGTTCTTGGACATTTTTTTTGGCAACTTTAGAGCTAGATACTGTACATTTGCAGCTTTCTGGTCCAAAATGCATAAAAGTTTGAACTGCTCTTGAGTCCTTCAGGTATTGCTCAGTTCAGTCGCTCTATTTGAAATGTGGTTAAGAGCTGAACCCGACGACTAGGCACCACTCTGAGCACTTTTAATCACTCAAAACATACGCTGCAAAGGGTATAAAATTTGCTTTGGAACTGCAAACTGCCGTAGCAACTGTGCACATTTTTCGTAACTCTAAAACCCAAGGATAGTCTATAAAAACGCAGCAAACAAAACACAAACTTGCAGCGTCGTGTTCTAATGTTCTTCACTAAACAAAACCTTAACCTTAAGCAAGCGATTTACACACACATTTTGGATGGATTGCCCAAATAACATCTGAGTAGCAATATCAGTGCAATCCCCAAAAGAGTTGCTATTTTCATTTTTGTTGATGTCACCGTCCCAAAAAACAACAGCGTGAAAGACTTTGTTAAAGGGTCTGGATTAATCAATCACAATTTCCTCATCGCAAACAGACCCGGAGTTGTGTTTTGTTTCATTCGCACATGTTTAACGCACAAATCCTGCATATTTTGGCTGAGTTCTTCTCTCACATTGTATTCCACTCACTCTGTTCCACCTTCCAATGTCATGTGATAATGCTCCACTGTGTTTTTAAACTCCATACAGCTTCACTAGAATCATTTGGATCATTTCAGCGCAGGAATTGCCGATCTCTACTGAACTAAAGAGAGAAACTCGCTGCTAACTTGAGAATTATTATTATTATTTTGATCTGTGAAAGGAGCAGGGTTTATAAGATTTGTTTTCTTCTTGTTGGTTTTGTTCACGCAGCAAAGACGAGGCAAATAACGGTTGTCCATAGTCCAATGAGGTTCATTTGGTGTCCCGATAATTTATGTTATTAGGTTCCTTTTTCAGACCAAGAGTTTGTTTTCATACCTGACGATTTCGACCCTGTTCACTTGCGGGATTTGTACAGGTTTGGGCGCTGTCTTTCTATGAGTGGAGGCAGGACGACGGCGCCATCTGCAGTCCGACTTTCTCAGGACAGTATCCCAGAAATACCCGAAAAACGGAAACGTGCCCACGGGACTATAAACCGGGACGAGGGGGCCTTTTTACTCCTACACACCTGGGATACTGTCCTGAGGAAGCCGGACTGCAGATGGCGCTGTCGTCCTGCCTCCATCAGTAGGAAGACAGCGCTGAAACCTGTTTAAACCAGCTGAGCAGCAACATCACATGACTGAGGAAGACCACAGTGAGCAGTCAAAACTGTCAGGTATGAAAACAAACTCTTGGTCTGAAATGCAAATAATGGAATATGTATTTACGTTAACTGTCAGATTTTTTGTTGCTGTTGTTGTTCTCTTTATATTGATGCCGACAAAGTAATAGCATGAGCAATAAATAAATAAAAACTATTACGTCATGATATCACAAGGTGGAAGAGAGTATTTTCAGCTTTGGAGATGTAGACAGACTGATAATAAAGACATGCGTGAATGAAACAAAACACAACTCCACAAACTTCTCCCGACGTGAGATATAAAAAAATAACAAATATAAAATATCTACATCTTAAATGTTAAAACTGGAGCTATTGGCAGTGGTGAAAACAACCTGCATAGGCTCATGATCTCTCCAGTACTGTCCAGTTTTTTGCTTTTTTAAAAATGTATATATTTATTTTTGGCAAGTAAGAAATGCACATTCTTTTACAACAGTGAAATCACAGCAGAAATAACAACAAAAAAGCTGCTGAAAAAAGGAGTGGGAAGAAGAAAACTTAACCTGTGACATGAGGGGACCAGGACTGTTCCCAGGACTAAAACCAGGACTAAAACAGGACTAAACCAGGACTAAAACAGGAATAAACTAGGACTAAACCAGGACCAGGACTAAAACAGGAACTAGGACTAAACCAGGACTAATAAACCAGGACCGAACCAGGAGGACTAAACCAGGACTAAACCGAACCAGGACTAAACTAAACCAGGACCGAACCAGGAGGACTAAAACAAGGACTAAACCAGGACTAAACCAGGACAGGACTAAACCAAAAAAACCAGGACTAAACTAAACCAGGACCGAAACCAGGACTAAACCAGGACTAAAACAGGACCAGGACTAAACTAAACCAGGACTAAAAACAGGACTAAAACCAGGACTAAAAGGACAGGACTAAAACCAGGACTAAAACAAGGACTAAAACAGGACTAAAACAGGACTAAACAGGACTAAACAGGAGGACTAAATAAACCAGGACTAAAACCAGGACTAAAACCAGGACTAAAACAGGACTAAAACCAGGACTAAAACTAAAACTAAAACAGGACTAAAACAGGACTAAACAAGGACTAAACAGGACTGGACTAAAACCAGGACTAAAACAGGACTAAACCAGGACTAAAACCAGGACTAAACCAGGACTAAAACAGGACTAAAACCAGGACTAAAACAGGACTAAATCAGGACTAAAACTAAACCAGGGACTAAAACAGGACTAAAAACAAGGACTAAAACAGGACTAAACCAGGAAAAACTAAAAACAGGACTAAACCAGGACTAAACCAGGACTAAAACAAGGACTAAAAACAAACTAAAACAGGACTAAAACAAGACTAAAAACAGGACTAAAACAGGACTAAACCAGGACTAAAACAGGACTAAAACAGGACTAAAACAGGACTAAAACAGGACTAAAACAGGACTAAAACAGGACTAAACCAGGACTAAAACAGGACTAAACCAGGACTGAGTGTTGGGACATGCATCACATCGATGACGTCACAAAATCGCGTACCCCCACTTAAAAAAAATCCCCACTACACCACTGGACTCCGGGTTGTTTTGTTTTTTTTCAACACCATAACAGGGTTTAAAACTCATAACAGTAAATTTTGTGTAATATTGGACCTTTAAAAATCCATAATATGAATCTTTCCCACCTTCCTCCGGCTCTGTCTCCTCCGCCTCTGTCCCCTCGTCGTCCTCTTTGGGCTTGGGCAGCAGCAGAGTGTCGCCCGGCGGGAGCGCGCTTCCGGGGGAGCCGCGGGGCCAGTCCTGCGCCGTGGTGCTGCCCCCCACGAGGTGCCGCCCTGGGTGGGACAGCGGCTCCGTCTCCTGGCTGGAGATAAAGTGATAGGTCTCATCCTCCAGGGGCTGCGTGGGGCCCCAGACCACTGCCCAGAGCGGGGTGGGCGTGGCCTGGGCGGTGACGGACAGCTGCTCCTCCGCCTCCCTGTCGTCACGGTTACAGGTGGAGGGCGGGAGCAGGAGGGAGAGGAGAAGGAGAGAGAGAAGCCAGCGGAGGGCAAGCAGTCGTGCAACAGGAGAGATGGAGCTGAAAAGGAAAGAGAAGAAAAGAGGAACTATCAGATAAACCCAAATATAAAAGAAGAAATAAGATTCAGTCATTTCTAAGCATCATCTTCTGTCAGTAAAAGCAGCGTTCGGACTTCGGAGGAGTACATTTGCCTATTTTTGTGTCTTATCTTTATTCATGATTCTTCTTATTATGACTCATATGTATTTGTTTTTCATAAGAAGAAACCATCACATTTAATGAAACCACCAAGGTGCATAAATATGAGTGGGGAAAAAGTGATTATTTTTTGCCACGTCACCCGAGCCCTATATGCAAAACGAGAAAGCCTCCGCAATCTGTTAAAAGAAATTTGGATTCAAACGATACTCAAGGCAATTAGACGATCTGAAAATTAGAGCCGTTTTCATTTGATTTATAGGCCGACAATTCAACGTCGGTGCAATGAAAACGAAGGAAATCAGGACCAAATCTGTACATTTATAAGTTAATTTCTTGTTCTTTTCTGGATGTGGTTCGTTTCTGTCGCCATGGAGATGTTAATGCTTTGCCAGAATGTTCCACAGTATGAAATTAAACATCTAACATCTAACATTTAATCATTATGAGTGTTTTTATTGCTCAAAAACGCAATAATTCCTCACAAATCTGAACTGTAATGGAGCAAAGTCCTGATGGATGATTTAATCTATACTGTGGAACATTCTAGGCAAAGCAGTAACGTTTCCATGGAGACGAGAAGGTGGCGGACCCTTTTCAAAAAGAATACTCAAGGCAATCTGAAAATTATAGACATTTTCATTTGATTTATAGGCTGACGGTGCAATGAAAACGAAGGAAATTAGGATTCATAAGTAAATTTCTTGTACTTTTTTGAATGTGGTTCTTTTCTGTCGCCATGGAGATGTTAATGCTTTGCCTGGAATGTTCCACAGTATGAAATTAAACATCTACATCTAACATTTAATCATTACTGGTGTTTTTATTGCTCAAAAATACAATCATTCCTCAGATCTGAACTGCAATGTGATGACTGATGATTTAATCTACACTGTGGAACATTCTAGGCAAAGCAGTAACGTTTCCATGGAGACAAGAAGGTGGTGGACCCTTTTCAAAATGAATACTTAAGACTATCTGAAAATTACAGTTAATTTTGTGCAATAAAAACAAAGGAAATCAGGACTAAATCTAAACATTCAAAGCTAAAATTTCTTGTTCCTTTTTGGACATGGTTCTTTTCTGTCGCCATGGAGATGTTAATGCTTTGTCTGGAATGTTCCACAGTATGAAATTAAACATCTACATCTAACATTTAATCATTACAGGTCATTCTTTTGCTCAAAAATGCAATAATTCCTTACAGATCTGAACTGTAATGTTGCAAAATCCTGACTGATGATTTAATCTATACTGTGGAACATTCTGGGCAATGGAGTAGCGTTTCCATGGAGACGAGAAGGTGGTGGACCCTTTTCAAAAAAGAATACTCAAGGCCATCTGAAAA